TGGACTAAATCTGAATATTTAACCTAAAAATTTGAACTGAACGTGGACTGTGTTGTACACTTCACAAGAAATACCATTTAATGAATTTGCAAGATGCCAGTTGAATGGAAGTTGCACGGTCTTCAATCTACCGTAATTACACACTATTTTTAAAACTGAAAGATGGTATTCTTTCGTGTAAATTCTTCAAGAAAAACACGGTTATTTATCTACTGAGCACAAGTTTTTGGCCTACGTTTTTTATAGCTCTACTAGAATTTGCAAGAGGTTCGGAAATCAACGTTGATGGAAGCTCCCTCGCGTAATCCTTTTTATCCAGTCCAGTTTTTGCCCAGAGTCGAAAGGAAACACATTTCAACGCCTGCATTCTAACAGGTCCAAAATATCTTTTGGATAATATTGTACGATAGAACATAAGGAGTTTTTAACGCCTGACCAATAATGTCGTCGTTTTGTCCGCTCGTGAATTATCTTAAATTTAGCAGCGAAACGGAACGTCTTTATGGCGAATGTTAGCCCCGTTGCGGCTTGGAGCGTAACCTTAATGACAGTGTTCCGGAACCAAAGGATAGAATGGTTCCAGTGGGACCAAAGTGTAGCCTTTGGTTCCACTGCGCCGTGATTGCATATATGGGCGGGTATTTCGTGCGCTGGCCGCGGTAGTCTACAAACCGTCATCGAAATCGATGGTCGAACACCCACACATAAGCTCCCCGTCCACCTGAGATAAACCATACGCGCACACACGCCTCCTGCATTTGCTACCTCCCCCCTCCGGAAATACGGCGCCTGGATCGATGTCTTGCTTTGCCAACTTTTGCCGGCGTATGCCTTGGGCGAATAAAAATCCGTGTTAAGGTCACACGCTTTCAAATAGGGGTGGAGTCTGGGGGTAGAGGGGCAGGGGGGTAAAGGGCGACTACTGTTTAAACATTTGGCTTAACTGAGTCTGCTCAGACTGTACTTGATGAATCATCCTATTTACTGACGAACACTAGTAACAATGGCAGTTTTAAGAGGATTTTCAGTGCCGTCTAGATCCCCACTGCATAGTTCTTTTTGAGTTGCCTACAAACTGGCAATCGATACAATTATTTATTGACATTGGGCACTATCTCATGGTAGGAGTTTTTTCACTGCTTCCTCATTAGTTCATCATATTTCCAGAGAGTGTTAACTATCATTTTAACAGAGCAGCAATTATTCACTTTGCATTTATTTTTACCATAACATTAATTTTGACGAGGCCCGCTGGGCCTTAAAGATACAAACTATTATTAATGTACACGCTGGAAACTGAAATGACCGGGATAAGGGAGACTGCGATGAACTTTCTCCACCAGCCAAGCACAGGTTTGGATAACCTGGTATGTTAACCCAGACGTCTTCTCATCTACGCGCTGAGCTTAACGTTCTATCACTGAGCGAGGAGGTCTTTGGCTGTCGGTGGCGAATGGAAAATGAAGGAGCTTGGAAGGTTGGTCAGCGGTCAGGGTACGGACCATTTTCGTCGCGTTGCTTGCTTAAAGTCGAGCCAGCATAGGGAGTGTTGGTTCCTATGGTTACATTGTTTACTATCTTAACGTCTGGGTATTTTATACACAGTTCTAATCACAAACTATATAGCTTGAGGCAATTTCACTGTACATTTTTTGTACATGCCCGGAAGATTCTTCACACGATTGGCAGAAATATGTGAATTTTCTTTAGGGAGAATGCACTGCACGAAATTTAAAAACTGAAAACACAGAACCATCATTCGGATAATAACACGTGTTTTTGAACACTTTCCACAAAGAAATTCTTCTATCATTTGGGCACTAAAACCTTAGGTGATGCAATCTTTCATATGACAGTTCAAACGCCGATTTCGACGAGGTCCACCACATAACCCCCAAAAAGGCGGTACAGGGATGGTGATCCGTGACTTATATTATAGCGGTGGTACAGTTGCGCTGCATCTACCACACTATCTCTGAACCTGCCACCTGTGCTATGTGGCATGAGCAAGTCAAGAATACCGGAGGTAAGGGAGGGCGCAGGTAACCGGCGCGGCGGGAACCTG